TAATTCGGATTAGCAAGTTCTAAAATTAAGTTCACTTATATACTTCAAATAAATAATTTTAACTTTGCAATTCAGTTTATATAATTTTTATAAATATTAGACAATGCCCTGTTATGTTTTTGACATAATTTTAGTTCAGATTTTCTTGAAATTATACAAAAGCTTAAATATTACTTAAAAAAAACACAATTTATTTTTATCAAGGGCTGTCAATCCCTCTAACACTTATTTTCTTTTTGAGATCAAATTTCTTTATTTTAATGCGCTATTGAAAAATACATTTAACACTAAATTTTCACCTTTCTACCACAAATTATTATTTCATAAGTCATTTTAATAGTTCAATCATTTCACATTTAGTTCGATAACTTCAAATTTTGATCAAAGTTTGATGCTTATTATGATTATGATTTTAGCTTATGGAATAGCTTAAATATATTCGCTCTGAAATGTTTAGCTTATCGTTGAAACATTTTCAAACCAATTTTTAGATTTTGGAAACGAAAGGTTATACAAAATATTGATCGATTCTTGCATAATCGCAACAATTTTTGAGACTATGCAAATCTACGCCAAAAATGAATGTTCCGATGCTGCTTCGTAATTGAAAATTAAATATTAAAAGTTAATGATTTAATGAAAAGCGCGGTAATGATAAATCAAAACGTTGAATCTCCAAATGTGCCAATACAATTTAAACTAAATCTTACATTGCGGACACGGTTAAACAAACGTTTGCCGGACCTGCTAGTATATATATATATATATATATATATATATATATATGTATATATATATATATATATATATATATATATATGTATGTTTATTTTGCAATACGATACTTTAGTGCCTATTTGTATACCATGGTTTATCAGTATAAATAAGATTATTTATTTACAATATTCGAATATCAAATTGCAAATATCTTCTGCTAGTTATTCTTTAAACCTTCAACATTATCATATATTTATTTAGTTAAATTTGTTATAGTAATTTTCCACCAAATAAAGGTTGGAACTATAACCCTTAGCATAAATGTTTGCAATTTTTTTATTGTTAACTTCCCGCAGGGCAAGTTATAGTAATCGCAAAAAAATCGAATATGAAAATTTTTATTTATCTTTACGTTTAAAAACCTTTTGAACATTTTGGCATGCCTTAGAAAAAATGGATGTTTGTGTGTGTGTGTATGTGTGTGTGCGTGTATGTGTGTGTGTTCGGATACAAAATTTCGTCGACGATTTCGGGAACACGGATGAAGCGATTTGAATAACTCAAAAAACATTCGATTCGTATTGATAAGGAGAGACGTGCTGATTATATATATATATATATATATATATATATATATATATATATATGTTGATAGTGTTTAAATTTGACGTTGAAATGTATATATATACATATATATATATATATATATATATATATATATATATAATTGGAAACGTTTACGGGATATTGCTCGTAATAAAACACAATGAATAGAATGACAAAAATATATATATATATATATATATATATATATATTTATTTATTTATTCAAAAGAAAAAATAAACTTTTGTAACAATTTTTTCAATAAAAACATATTATTAATAAATCAAACAATACTAATGTGACGGATGTGTTTGTTTATTTTTACACAAATAATTAAATCTAGGCTCAATTTGAGTTAGTGCAGATCGTAATAAATTTTCAACGTTTATTAAAGTTGGACGGTATTTTGATTTTATATAAGTTAAGGTGGAAAAGGCTGATTCACATAAATATGTTCTACAAAATGGCAGTAATTTGTTCATTGCTATTTTCGATAGTAGTGGATATTCTGATTTCATTTCTATCCAAAATTCATGCACAGGCACTTGAGAAAATCTTAGTCGCAAGGTAGCATCACTAGTTAATTCGGCAAATTCTTCTTGTGCTTTTAAGTTTAAAAAATGATTTTATCAAAAATGTCTGCCAAATAGCATAGCTTGAGAAGCCATAAATTATCGTGAAAATAATCAAATTAGTGCATCGCACAAAGACGCCGATTATAATAAAACTACAATAGTATTTTGTATGATTTTTATTCGTATTTATATTTGCACGTAGTGTGTGTACTAATTTTAAAATTTTATTTATAATGACTGAAAAGTATCAGATCTGCGTGACCCCCGTTCAGTAGCCTCGCGACCCCCACTTTAAGAAACCCTGACCTAGAGGGTAGTACCACCTATAACCTTGGCCTGAAAGTGTGTATTCAGTGAAAAAATTAGTATTGAATAAGCAGACAATTGCGTTTTTCTACCTGCTGTTTACCTGCCGCTGCCCGTTCAAGCTCCCGGGAACTCTATTATTATGATAAAATTATCATGACTGTTGCGTTTCTTCACTATCGCAACTTCATGATTGTGTGTTATTTGAAATAAGATTATGGAAAATTTTGACACAGGATATATCCCGCTATAGGATTAGATTACGGTTTATGGTGATGTTCTCTGTAATTGCGATTCGAGAAATATAGTTGCTTGTAATAATAACAAATATTGTTGCCTTCACCCAAAGGCTGTTTTATAACGTGAAATATTTTCCAATTTTTTTATATTTTTGAATTAATGTTTTATGCTATTTGTAATGGCAAGATACAACATATTTTTTTAAAAAAATGTTATATAATTTGAATGTTATTATTCATAATATTGAGATTTATTATCGTTATCAGATGAAATAATAAAAAATCATTAATATTTATTTTTTGTTAAAACCAAGTTATCATTTTCTCTTAATATATTACGACTATACTTTTAATTCGCTTTAAATTAGCGATTTTTGAAACCTAATGATTGGACAAAATATGTTTTATAAGTCTCATTAATATTATTTATCGCATAGAATTTAAATTTATTATGTGTTAAATAATATTTAAATACTTTTGAAAACACAAAAGGTCTTATGTCTTATTCTTAATTTTAAAGGGATTTTACAATATAATAGCTACATTATTTCAACGCAAAATATAAATTCTATGAATGCATTTCTACAGAGATAACACTGTATGTACCCTTATCTGTCCGCCAAAAATATATATCAGCAGATTTTTTTGAATATGTCATTTATATCTTGTAAAGTTGCTTTTTTTAACTTAATTTGCTTTTTATTTACTATTTTTTTGCCAGGGTAAAGGTACAGTTGATCCTTTTTACCCCAACCAGGTGTAAGCTTTTATAGAGGCCATGTAAAAAAATCTGTTGAATTTAACTTAAAATTAACAATACATCTTATAAATTAATTAAATAACGCATACTTAAAAATTATGTTAAGTTCCAAACTCGCAAAAAAAAACTAACAACGGAAGAAAATACTTTTGTGGATAGTTTTTGAAACATTGCCGTTTTTCTTTTTCTTTTTCTTTTTCTTCCTACTTTCAAATATTGTTGATAAAACAAACTTTACTTGTTTTTGAGATATCGGCGGTGGACTTTTGTACCCGCGGACCCTTAAGGCCGTGCTCTCACTCTATATACTTTTTAATTATCAAGTGTTATACTTATACATATCATGCAAATTCTTAAGACAAAAATATTTTTATTGAATAAGATATTATGTTATACTAATGATTAAGTGAGCTTATGTGATTTTATGATTTTTTTTCAAGTAATATCAATATTAAATATTCTTCATATTCTAGATAACAAATAGCATAAATACATTAACGTTATAAATGAGTAATCACTTAAAATACAATGTTATAAAATTTTATACAGTATGTGGGAATGGATTGCACAATATATGCGCTAAAAATAAACATGGTTTGTGAGATGATAAACTTTTATTTTCATGATATGAGTGCAATACCAATACATTTATTATGCATTATTGCAGCAGTATCACAGTTTCTATTCGTTGACGAATTTTCATTTGTACTTTGTTCAAATATTTTTGAACTCTTTATAACGTTCAATAGAATGTTTTTTAAAAAAAAACATTTAAAATTATCTAAATAGCTAATCTTCTTATTCTTATTAATTCTATTTTTACACATATCGGCAAGTGTATGCAACTTTCCTTAACCAGTTAACTGTGGCGCTCACATCGAACTGTACGCACATTTTTGGCGTCCGATTTGAGATCATGACGAGTATATTCGTCAATCACATGATAAGTTGCGCAGGTAATATATCAGAAAAATATGGGTTCACTCAAATTAAAAAAGTGCATTTTACTCATCTGTTTTGTATAAAACAGATTGTAATTAATAAAAGAAATGAAAAAAAAAATCCGTGAAATATTGTACATGTAAATGTAAAAAAGTAAGAATAATTCTTAATGAAAAGCAAACTGCTTATTTCAAAATAAACAGTAGAAAGCGATATTTAAATGTAGACAAATTTTAATTTTTATGATCAAGGTGAAATGCCATTTACAAACACTCACTTTATATAGTCATTGCCTCAAAATATTCTAAATATCTCGAAACTTCAAAATATATATTTTCTTTAAAAAATTTAATTCAAATTCACTGTTTTATAGCCATAACTCGTTAATACACACAATTATGTGTCACATCTCTATGACGTGTATAATCGTCAAACACAGTTAACTGGTTAAGGGTCGAAGCTGTACAGGAGATTATGGAAAACAGCATTTATATTAGATATCACGATAATATAATGAAACACATTTAATATTAGAATCTACATCTATTAGAAGATTGAAGAAGAAACAACCTATCGATCTAATATACTAAAATTGTAAAAAAAGTAATAATTCGGCAGTAGTTGGCGTATGAAGTCAAAAAATACAGCTAAAAGGCATAAATGTACCACAATTAGTATATGACAACTACTAGGTTGGCTTCTCAAACAAGCCATACACTAAGTATCAAAACAATTACTAAATGTCCTCGTGATGTAAACAGATCATAATTTAAAAATTAATTATTAACTAACAATTATTAAATATAATCGTTTGTAGGATTTTAATGGTAATGATTATGGTTTGTTTATATTTTCAGATCAAAATGGGATGCTTTATTGAAGATAGTCAGATGCGAGATTATAAGCTTTAGCAGAAATGATCAAGTTGATGCCTACGTATTGAGGTTGGTTATTTATAATTTATATTTTGATTTTTATTATTTTAAATGTGGTTAAATTTATTTTTGTGCATAAAATCTATTTGTCAGTTAAAATTCATTTTCATACATATAATTTTGATGTGTTTTGTATAGTTAAAACGTATAATTTTTTTCTAATAAATACTGAATTTAGTTTCTAATTTCCTATTTCTCAAGATTATAACTCACTACGTTTTCAACCATTTTTTTAATTATTAATATTTTTTTATGTTTGCTTACTTACCCTATTAAACAAATTACTGTTTATGATGTAGTTATTAATTTATTATTGCTAACAAATCAACAAAACTATAATCACTTAAAATGTTTATAAATAATAGTTTAACATGCAGTGTCGTTTTTGTTTACTATTTTTGTCGAACAGCGTGCAATTTGCTTAATTCATTAACATGACTTGTCAATGTTGTTAAGCTTTGTACTGACGTTTCAAATGTTTTGAATATATGTTTATATACTTATTTTATGTAATATAAATTGTTTAATATTTAATTAGCTCCTGTGATATAACTGTCTATATCATTATATATATATACTTAAATATTACTTTATTTTTATAATCAATTAAGTCCTTAAAATTTTCCTTAACAAACTTCAAAAAGATTAATCAAAATTCGAATAACCGTGTAGGAGTTTCCATTCATATATATATATATATATATATATATATATATATATATATTAGGGTAGTCCTTAATATGATTATTAATTTTCAAAAAATTAAAAAATGTTTTTTAGATATAACTTAGCGAACAAATTTATGAGTTTTATTCAGAATTCGACGCTTTACGAATCAATTTATAAAAAACCTGTTTTGCAGAGGGTCGAATTTTCAATAAAAAATTACACGAATTTTTACTTTTAATTCATTTGTCATACCTAAAAAAATTGTTTTTTCAAATTTCAAAATTTTTTCCATGCTATTTTCATACGAAGTTTGATTGAATTGCCCACTATGTCAAAATTAATATTAAGAGCTAAAACTTTCAGAGAATGGTTTTTTATCAATTGGGAACCATTTGAGCCCTTGGGAGCAAGGATATTCGAAAATGTCCTTATTAAGGACCACCCTAATATATATATATATATATGTATATATATATATATATATGTTTGTATTTTAGAATTGCAACAAATGCGTAAGATCTTATCATTATAAGGTTTTCTCTATAATTAACATTTTTCAATGTTACTTTTCTTATATTTCATCAACTTGAAATTCAACGGATCGATTTTGTTTTCTGGTCTGCACTTTAGCAGTTTTTGTTGCCTCGGTTTTTAAAATAATCTACTACTATTTCGTTAATACTATGATAAAAAAAATTGAGTTATTTTTTGCTGAAAAATATTGCTTCTCTATCTATGAGGAATGTGACCAGGGTTTGTAAAATTAAGATACATAGTTCTACGAAAGTATAGTTACAATTGCTTACTGGCTTGTCCCGGTTAGTATATATATATATATATATATATATATATATATTAATTTGGAAATATGAACAAAACAACACTTTTTGTCTCATCATCAGTGTGTTATAATTTAAAATTTAAAATATGGAAACCTAAATTAGCATTATGTGTTATCCGTTACAAGTCGTTCAATATCTTCAATATCAATTGAACGACTTGTAACGGATAATACATAATGCTAATTTAGGTTACACACTGATGATGAGACAAATCTAGTGTCGAAACGTTTGTGAAAATTATTATTTAATAAATTAGTGCAAAAAACAGAGTGTTGTTTTGTTCATATTTCCAAATTAATATCTATTTATCCACGCAGAATACATTTGTTATATATATATATATATATATATATATATATATATATATATCACAACTTGTTTATAATCTGTTTTTGTTGTACATGACTTAAAATAGTGGTTAACCATTTTCTTTCTGTTGACATTATGCTAGATATACATATTTTAATAGTGATGACATTTCAATTTATTTTATTAAACCAATGTATGGTATAGATGCTGCGATCAACCAAACTATGCTGATATGATCGTGCAGTATTTCTTTTTTTAATGTTGCATTTTTCTATCTTCGCTTTTGCATTTTGCATGTGCCTAAATTAAAATAAAATATTTTGAATTAAAACTAACAATAGTATCCATTACTTATGATTCTGAGTAATTGCGACTCCCTGTTCTGCGTTACCGATTTATTTGCGTCACTAATAATTTTCTTAGAAAACATATAATTAAAACGTCGGCAGTAATTGAGTTAGTGTATCGTGAATCAGCATAACATATTTTTAAAAAGTTTGTAAGTATTAATTAAAATGTATAATAATCATATAGTGTTATCAGTTATTTTCTCTCAAAATTTATTCTGTTTTGACAGCCTTTAAATGAGATGAAGTGTTTTTCCGTGATCGGTTAACGGTGGCCCTTGGGCGCGTGCCAAAATAACGAGCGGTATTGAATGTAAATATTTATTTTTTATATTTTTATTTGCACTTTATTCCAGTCAATAATATTCGATTGATTTCCGTGTTATTTAATCAAATATTTAGTTTTCAAATATTATTTAATAGTTTATCGAAATAACATTATCAGATATCTTTTTCGATTATTCTGCTGTGAAGCTTATGATTAGAGATATATTTATAAATAGAGTCTAATGATACTAAGTCCGGTTTGATAAGGCTAAAAATAGGATTTCTTTTTTCTACAGAATCTTCAGCAATTATTTAAGACTGCGCTTACTATGTGTATCGTAATTGAAAGAAAATCATTTCAGTTTAGGTTTTATTATATATGTATCTATAAATAAAGAAATGTGAGACTTATTTTCGAGCCGTCAATTATGTAAATAAAATTAATATTATTTTGTTTTCAAAAGAAGTTAAGAATGGTTTTATATTCAAAATCTTATTTTTTTCGTAGAATAATGATACTAAAAGTGTTAAAGAATTTATACTATTTCAATTTGCTACAAAGGTCTTAATTCTGTAAGTTTGTAAATAAGTAAATAATTTGCAACTACATAGTATTATTTTTGGAGCTGAAATTATTTATTGACGGGTATTAAAATTTTTCATAAGCAATTTCTCAAAATATGTTTATTGCACGATTTTAGGAAATTAATATACGTTGAATTAATTTAATTAATTTTATATACTATTTATTAAAACATTTTATTCTATAACTATTAGTATTTATATTAATAAAATTTTATCTCATCATACGAAATATTAGATAAGGAAAACCCTAAACCATCTGCTTGCTCATGGTGCAAAATATATATACTCGTATGTTTGCGTACTAAGTTTCTGAAAGTTTTAATAAATTTTCTAATTATCTGTTATATGCCCCTAACGTACAGGTTTGGCAGACCCTTTTTATTATTTATAAGCTATATTTAAAATTATTATGTATCTTTAATATAGATTTTTGTAATTTTTTTTACGTTGCCTAGAATGCAAAATAAAGTAGACAACTGTCAACTTTTACATTAGGGCTACATTAGAACGACTGGGCCAGAATCAGAGGTCCAGCTCTGAGCTGCCTGATGTCAAGCAGTAGTGACTTTGGTTTACACTTGGAAATATAGATAGCAATAGGTTTTCAAGCGGAAATAGACTTATCCGGCATTGCTGCATCTATAAATGTTCATTAGTATTACAGAAATTGTACTAACAGAATTCATCACACAGAGATGAGACGGGTTTCCATATGTAAAACCGACGTAATATTAAGTCAAATTAGGCTAACAGCGTACAGGACTGAAGTTTTGATTGCTGTTCAAATAATATAATAAAAAAAACTTTTATATTAAGCATAGTAATAATAATAAAGACAAA